CTGGAAAGAGATGGTCATTCACTACGCCTAAGGACCGTAGGGCAACCCAGGCCGTGAGCTTCTTATTATTTTGATTCCAGAAGAGTATGATTCTCCCCACCAGCAGAGTTCAAGAAACCTCAAGCTCAGAGAGAACTTGGGCCTCGGTGTCCTGATTTGTAAAAGGAAAGGCATGGCAGTGTGGTGGAAGGAGCACTAGGTTTAGAACCAGAAGACCTGGATCAGGATACCAGCTCTACCACTTGATACCTCTGTGACTTTGAGCAAGTCACTTCACCAGTTCAGTCTTAGATTCCTCATCTGTAAAATGAGGGGGTTGGACAAGATGGTCATGAAGGTCTCTTCCAACTCAAAATTCCCAAGATCCTATGGCTTGATGACCTTGAAGCTTACCTCCCGCTCCAAATTTCAACAATTCTACAATATCTATGGGAAGGCCACATTTTTACGGACGAAACAACAGCAATAGTAAAAGGTCCTAGAAACTATTTAGTGGCCTGACACCACAGTAGATTTGTGTGCCTGTTTGGGAGTAGTTGACCTGACTTAGGGCTACCTCCAAACCCTCCATAATTCCTGTCCCCATCCCATGAAACCTTGGTTTAATCCATACATTGGCAGGAGATCACAGTTACCAATGAAAGTCATGTGCTCTCTGTCTCACTTGGCAGGTAGAGAAAAGAAATGGAGACCAACCCTGTAACTCCAATGGAAGCTGGAGACTCTCCCTCCAGGGAGCTCCTAGTCTCACCTGCATTATACGGTCATCACCTCTTTGGGCCATGATCATGAGCCTGGCCATCAATGCCAGTTTGGAGAGGAGAGCAGTTAGTTCCATTGGAGTAGTCAGGATAAGGGCAAGTCTGACCTTGTGCTAAGGCTGCCTTCCTAAGCCCTCTTGTCCCTGGTTTTTAGCTTCCTGTGCCAGGGGCTGGGGACTTTTTTCGACATTACCAACTAAGGACCCAGAAGAAATTTTGTCATATTTTTGGAGCTATCAAGTGCTATGTCAGCCCTCATCTAGCTCTTGGCAAAAGGTTGTGACCATAGGAGCCTGATACCCAGCCCAGCCCTGGCAACAAGATCCATTCTAAAGCAGTTCTGCAGCCCAAGACATTGCCCTCGTGATTCAGGAACTGTCTGGTTTTTATGCTTTGTTTTCTCAGGTACATCTGCCTGGAAGGTAGTGTCAGCCCCATGCCATCAGATGCGATCCAGGGGTATAGATGTCCCCGTGGTTTCTATTGCCTGCCAGGGACCAGTATGGAACTTCCATGTGAACCTGGCACCTTCAGCCCAGTGCCCGGGATGAGTACCTGCTTTCCTTGCCCAGCAGGTACCTTTTGCCAACAGGCTGCTTCTGTGGAGCCCACCATATGCCCCAAAGGTAATACCCATGCCCCATGACTTAGCCTTCTGTGATAGAGAAAGGAGAAATTGTCAGTAGATAAGAAAACTGAGGCCCATATAGGTGAAGTGACTCTGACTTACCCAAGGTTGGGCAGGAAACAAAGAGCAGAGCCAGGATTCAAACCTGGGTCCTCTGATTCCAAAGTAAGGGCTTTTCCATTGAATCTGCCTTTTAAAAAAGATTTTTGGCTCAAGGCCTTATCCAAGGTTTTCCCCAAGGACATTAGAATTTGGTTCATGTTTAGATTTCCACAACAGAAGAAAAAGGAACTTCAACTTCCATGCAAGCACTTGAGCTAACACAATATCAAATATAGGACAGGTTTTACTTAATCAGACAAAAAACATGTAACCCACAAAGGGCTTGTACGTAAGCCCACAAATAATCAAAACAACTCTCCTTGCTAATCCATTAAACCCCACCTCCATAAGATAGTCCTCCAGAATTAAAATGCTACTCTGTTCTTGAACCCTAAGTACTCCCCAAATACAAAAAGTAACTCTCCTCTAGTGAGTCCCACCTTTAAGGGTCTAAATAGTTCTACACCATGATAATATTATCCTAAGGTTTGGGCACCTTCCTCACTAGGGAAAAGCATTCTCTCCCTGGACCTACACATTCCCCATAGTACCAGTGAAGGGCATACTATGTGTTAGGCACTATTCTGGGTGTTGGTGATAGATATACAAAAGTAGTTAGTCCTGCCCTCTAGGAGCTTACATTCTAATAGGAAAAAACAACACATATAGGGAAATGGAGTTTTGGTGTAAGTAGTCACCAGGATTGTTGAATGGAACCAAAGGGCAGGAGATTGACATGCCTTTTTCGAAAGCAATGGTAGTTTTGATTCAATTATTGTTCAAAGAAAAAGAGACAGAAAATGGACTATCTTTTAAATAGTAAAATTACCCCCACTTAAATACCCCTGAAAAGTATCAACTGACTCATAATGTATGCCAAGCTATGGCAATGGAATGTAAGGGGCGGAGGGGTGACTTGGCCAGTTGATATAAGTAGATATGATTAGCAAATGTTAATGTCAACCACACAACATTGGATAACAGAGAAGACTCTGCATTTGTCTGAGTGTACCTTTACCCAGCCAACTAACTGGCTATACGATCTAACCCTTAAGTTTTCTGTCCTATGAAATGAGTATGATAACCCTGGCAATAATGCCATGAAGATGCTGTTTATGATGATGGAAAGGAAAGAACTTGATCTAAACCACTGAATGGTTCTACAGAGAGATGAGCAGAGCCGATCCCAAGGGCATAGTGACTAGGAAACATAGGGCACTTGGTAGGACTAGGCTGGAGCACCAGGTGAGAAAGAAATGGTTCTGCCAGCTGGGGCTACAAAGGGGCACACAAACCCACCTTACACAGTCGCTACTAGCTGCTTGTACCTCCCTCCTTCAGAACTACAGTTGATGTTCACTTTAACTTGATACCATTGGCATAAAGATAATAGGGGGTAGGGACCAGACAGGGATGGTCTATGTGTAATAATGCTGTGTGTAGTACTCCAGGATACTATTCCAGTTTTCTCCTTTGCAGGTCACTACTGCCCAGCTCATTCAGCTTCAGCTCTGCCCTGCCCAAAGGGCACCCTGAACCCCCTGGAAGGAGCTCTCTCTCTCAATGCCTGCCAGTCATGCCCAGTAGGAAGGTACTGCCCAAGAGAAGGCAGCTGGCATCCTGGAGGTGAGTGTTGCTACTCCTAAAGAGGAGACCAATGGTTTTGGGGGGCAAAGGGTCTGGATACCAGAAGGATGGAGGAAGAAAAGGAGATGGCAAACTTCCTCAGACCAGCTGATTCAGTCAAGCCTTTGATGGGAAGGCGAGGGGGGAATCCTGTCCCCGCCCCCAATCATATTTATGCCAATAGTACCAGGTTAAAGTGAATATCAAAGGTAGTTCTGAAGGACAGAGGTAATAAGCAGCTAGGTGGAGACTGTGTAAGGTGTGCATGTGGAGAACAGGGGTGGGGGTGGTTTCCTTTGTAACACCAGCTTGTAGAACCATTTCTTTCTCTCTGACCTCCATGGTGAGGGGACTATGGGCTGGTCAAGTGTCCAGGAGTTCTTCATCTGTTATTCCTTCCCCATATGGAAAAGTGCACAAAGCCCCCCCCCTTGCTATGTAAGAGATCCCAGGGCAAGAATATTCTGGAAGCTCACTATGTATCTGAATCCTCACCTTTCAGGTTCTCATCGGCTCCTGTTCACCCCCTCACAGAAATTTCCAGTACTTAGTTATCATTTGGCATCCCAAGGGGCTTGTTGGCTAGCTGCCTATTTTAATTTGGGTCCCATGCTCTTTGGAGAACCTCTGCAAACTAAGAGAAGGGCAGCCACCTTGGTCTTGGCTCTCTCTGCCCTTCTCCTTGAAAGCCAGGGACAGAGTTCTAAAATAGCAAAAGAGAGTGAGCTCAGAGGCCTTTCTCTGGCTTCCTTATGCACTTGAAACCCCTCCCATCTGTCTTCCTCCTTCATTGTCCACCCCAATCTAATAATACTGGTACATCTCGTTTGTATCCCAAGCCCCAAAGCTAGGCATATCCAGTACAGCAATGGGTATGGCCACTGTGGCCTCAACCATTGAATAAATTCAGCGTTGCAAGCAAAGATTACTCTACAGAAAGTAGTTTAAAATCTCCCCTGGCCAGAATTGAGGGTCCGAGTCTGAGGAACGGGGTCATGGCCCCTGAGAATATAGTCCTGCCATAGGCTGGAGGTCTGGGAGGATTTTGTTCTTGCTCTGAAATTCTCTTCATACCCCAGGTCTGTGCTGTGCCGGCTATTACTGTGAGGGAGGAGCTGCCTGGCCCATTCCCCTCACGACCACTGCTTTCCCTCTCTGCCCTGCCCCAAACAGCACTACTGCCCATAGGGGACTCTTAACCCCCTTCCCTGCCCTACAGGGACTCTAAGAAACATGACTAGTGTGTTTATCTCCCTTATACCTATTAACTAATCCCCAGCTATGTCCCTATCCTTTCCAGTGCTGCTCAGAACCTCTCTCAGACTTTCTGAATTCATCCCATTCCAGTGTCTCTTTTCCTAGGTGATAGTACGTCTATAGTTTAAATTGCCCAAATCCTCCCTTGTTTGCTATATTTCATTGTAATTTTTTCTGTTTTAGCTGTATCTGTCCTTCCTTTGCCCAAGACACCATGGCATGGTGGATAGAGAGCTGAATTTGAAATCAGGAAGACCAGAGTTCACATCTTGACTCTGATACTGGCTAGGTGACCCTGGACAAGTCACTTAACTTCTGTAGGGTTCAGTTTCCTCATCTGTAAAATTAAGCGCGCACATTAGACAGCCTCTAAGTCGCCTCTAAATCTATTATCTTATGACAGTATTCCCTACTTCCTCTGTATCTCAGTCCAGAACCCTTTAATTAGATGTTTAATGTTATTGGCTAACTTGGGTCTGTTGATGTCCCAAAGGTAGCCCAGTCAAGATGCCCCCTTGGCAATGAGATTGTTTCCTTTCCCCAGGTGGCTCCCCTGAGGGCAGCTGCCTACCCTGCCCAGATGGATTCTTTTGCACTGCCCTAGGCCTCAGCTCCCCAACGGGATCCTGTGCAGCTGGATCCTGTGCAGCTGGATTCTACTGCCCTTCTAGCCTCATTTCCTCCAATTCCACAGATTCCCTGTGTCCTCAGGTACTACCACTCACTTCCCTTGGAGAAGAGAAGAGGGAAGGGGAGGGAAAGGGAGAGGGGAGGAGAGGGAAAGGGAGAGGGGAGAGAGGGAAAGGGAGAGGGGAGGAGAGGGAAAGGGAGAGGGGAGGAGAGGGAAAGGGAGAGGGGAGGAGAGGGAAAGGGAGAGGGGAGGGGATGGGAAGGGAGAGGAGGGGAGGGGAGGGGAGGGGAGGGTGACTCTCCCTCCAAGGGTCATGTTCGGCAGCCCAGGAGCTCATAACTCAAAGCAGCAAACAGAAAAGCTTGAGACCTCCACCAAGAAACACTAAGATTAAGATACCCCCATTCAATAACAATGATAATACCTAGCATTTATATGACACTTTAAGATTTATGAAGAGCATCACTTATGTTATCCATTTGAACCTTAGGACAACCCTGAGAGGTAGGTGCTATCATTAACCCCCAATCCCCCCAAGGTTTCTCTACTCTTGTTATGCATTGTTACCATGCAATCATTATCTGTTTAGCCTGGAAAAGTCACTGTGAACCTAACCTCCTGAGCACCTTCCACCTTTCAACTCCAGGTCTTAAGGGTTGCATGGCTTGTGTTTACTCTCCAGGGTCATTTCTGCCCATCAAGAACAACTCATCCCATTCCATGCCTCCCAGGGCAATACCAGCCAAACCAGGGCTCAGCCAACTGCCTTCCTTGCCCTCCAGGGTTCTACTGCCCGGAATATGGCACAAAAGAGCCCAGGGTGTGCCCAGCACATGCCTACTGTCCCGCTGGTATGTACAGGAGTCTCATTCAATTATCTTGTCCCACCTTTTTACCAGTTCCCTATTGCCTTTAAAATAAAATACAAAGCATTTAAAAGAGGTGTCATGGTATGGTAGAAAGCACCCCTGGATTTGGAGCCAGAGTTTCTAGGTTCAAATTCCAGCTCTGTCACTAGCCACCTGTATGATGTTGGATGAGTCTCTTCTCTCTGGGACTCAGTTTCCTCATCTGTAAAGTGAGATGATTGAACTCTTGGTGCCCTCTAGTTGTAAATTCATGCTAAGCCCTCAAACTCTCCTAGGCAAAGACGTTAATGCCAAAGTCCATTTCCCTGAGCATACATTTTGCCTTGATTGGGTGAATTATTTAATATATGTATTAAATATGCTCAATTTCAATTCACATGCAGTAAACTAATTTGTGATTGTCTATAAATGGCTATCTCTAGTAAAAGATGGATATATCTTTTATAGGGGAAGCATGATTCTCCCAGATGCCTCGAGCTCACAGTGCCCTTGGGATCCCTTTCCCTGCCTTTGCTGGTGCTAGACACATCTTTCTTCCCTGTCTCTGCTCTGTGTTTTAAACAATGAGTCAGAAAATCAAGTACCTTGCATATATTAAGCACTCTACAAATGTTGAGTCCAATCATAGCCCTAAATGAGATGGGACTTCAGAATCAAGGTGTTTATTTTTCGTCTTTGTCTCTCTGTCTCTGTCTCTGTCTCTATGTGTGTCTCTTGTCACTTTCTCTTGTGCTGCATCTCTCTCTCTCTCTGTTTTTCTGTGCATCTCTGTGTCCCTCTGCTCTCTGGCTCTGGCTCTGGCTCTCTCCTCTCTCTCTCTTTCTTTCCTCTTTTTTCTCTCTCTCCTCTCTCCTCTCTCTCTCTTCTCTCTCTCTCTCTCTCTCTCCTCTCTCTCTCTCTCTCTCTCTCTCTCTCTCTCTCTCTCTCTCTCTCTCTCTCTCCCCTCTTCACTCCTGTTTCCCCTTGCTTACCCTCACTATCACTGAGGATTCCCTTCACTGATTTCCAGTCTCCAGTCTCATCCATTAAAGTCTTCCACCTACCTGGGTTCTCAGATTCTATATTTGACATATTCCCAATCTGTAGCGGCTCCTGCCAAGCTGAAAAGACTTTAAGTACTGACCTGGTGATGGGATATGTGGTGTTGGATATACGTCTGTTGTCTGAGGACCAGCTGACCTAAGCCAGGAAAGACTCATCATCACCAGGCTGACTTTAGGGCAAAGAAATTCTCAGGAACAGAGACGCTTAAGGATCATCTACCAAATCGTAGAGGGGTTTCAAATTGCATTAATGAAGGGAGGTCCCATACCAGACCCAAGAAATACCATGTCCTTGAAATAAGAAAATCTTAGTAATGTAGGATTTTCCAACCAAGGACACACCTTTTACACAGTAGCAATGACTCACATGAACCAAAGCAAGGTAGATGTCACTGGCCCAGGCACAGTGACAACTGATAACAGGAATGTGGTAAAATCTTATCGGTAATAGAAGTGATAAAAATGCACATAGGAATTTTAGGAGGAAGAAATTTAAAAAAGAGACCCCATGGCTGCATAACACCAGCTCCCTCTAAATACAAAGTTTTAAAAAAGAGTTTTGTTCAAACAGATAGGATAAAGGGAGAGGAAAATAAGCTGGGAGTCTATCCTGAACAGGGGACATGAATCCCCAAAGAAGGAAAGTAGAGGCAAGAGGTGGCTGGGGTCCTTTCCCCAGGTGGGTAGACATACACAAATACACATCCTTGCACGCGCATGCGCACACACTGCAAATCCCTCATCTCTTCACTAGTGCCTAAAATTCCACCATTAGACATTAATTTATTTGGGCTAGAGAAGTAAATAAACATTTATTAAGGGCATACTGTGTGCTACTCACTGTGCTAAATACTTTACAAATAGTATTTCATTCGGTCTTTATTTGAGGGCAAGCAGTTAACTGTCTTTTAAAATGCAAACACCCCTGGAAGGAATAATACCAACTGATTCACACTAAAGTGCTAGAAACATAATTACTTACTTGCATTTGTACAATTTAGAAGAGGAAGAGATCTTAACATCCATCTAGTCAAATGCCCTTATCATACAGCTGATGAAAGTAAGGCCTAGAAAGGTGATATGATTTGTCTAAGATCACATATGTAATGGACAGCAGAGTTAGGATTCTGACCCAGGAGCTCCAATGTCAAATCCAATGATATTCCCTCCACACCACAGCCAGGATCCTGGATTCCTGGGAAGAGGGGTGAGATTAGCTTAAAATGCCGGGCATCTGGGAGGAAGGATTCTGAGAGGGGGTGACAAACAGAAAACAGAGGCAGAAACCCCTGAACCTAATTTAATTCACAGCTTCATTCAGAGCTGGTCAAAGCAGTGGGTTTTGCTGGTCCAGGTATGGATTGCTTCCCTACATGATGTTTGCTGTAGACTGGTTCCCTGGGGGCGAGCATCTCCTGATATGAGACCCTGGCTGTTATTCAAATTGGCATATTCGCCATTCCATGAGCACAGATGAAAACTCCATCTCCAGACTCAGACCCTTTGTAGAGGCCGATTGTCTGTCCCCTGGCCTACAATTCTGTCCCTCTTCCACTGTGCCCCTGGGAACCCCTTTCTTCAAGCCTCTGCTCAAATGTCCCCTACTACAAGATGGCTTTCACACTTCAGTGTGAATCAGTTGGTATTATTCCTTCCAGGGGTGTTTGCATTTTAAAAGACAGTTAACTGCTTGCCCTCAAATAAAGACCAAATGAAATACTATTTGTAAAGTATTTAGCACAGTGACTAGCACACAGTAGGTCCTTAATAAATGTTTATTTACTTCTCTAGCCCAGTTGCTAGTGCTGCCTGTCTATTCACCATACTGATTTTACTCTGGATTCATGTTTGTGTATAAATACACTTTGTACTTATGTTCGGGTACACTAAAGGCTCCATCCCCTCGGCACAATGTCTGGCACAAAGTAGGCACTTAAAAATGTAATCATTATTGTTGATGCTTTTATTGGCAGCTAGGTGGCGTAGTTGAGAGAGCGCTGGGCCTGAAGTCAGGAAGACCTGAGTTCAAATCCAGCCTCAGACACATACTAGCTGTGTGACCCCGAGCAAGTTACTTGGCCTCTATTTGCCTCAGTTTGATCACCTATAAAATAGGGACAAAGATAGCACCAGGGTTGTTTTGAGGGCTGAACGAGATATTTGTAAAACAATTAGCACAGTGCCAGCCAGAGTAGGCACTTAAAATGTTTATTGTTGATGTTTTTGTTTTTAGCTAAGTGGCACAGTGGATGGCCTGGAGTCAGAAAGACTTGAGTTCAAATGTGGCCTCAGACATTTACTAGCTGTGTGGCCCTGGGCCAGTCATTTAACCTCCCTCAGCCTCAATTTCCTCATTTGTAAAATGAGTATTTATAAAGTGATTTGCACTATAAAAATGCTATCATCTTCATTATTTATTTATTTTTCCTTTTTTTTTTACATTCTGGTTTCATCTAGGGACGCGGTCACCATCTCCTTGTCCCCAAGGAACCTTCACTTCCCAAGACACATCGGGCCTCAAGGAAGAAGGTGACTGTTCTGTCTGTCCCTCTGGTCACTGCTGCAGGTCAGTTGGGTAGCCTAGGTCATTTTCTTTTCCTCACAGTCTCATGGAAGAGGGATCTTCCTAGGTAGAACCTCTAGCTAACTTGCTGTAGTCCAGAGGTAGTTCCATTGCCAGGTAAAGACAACAGCCTTACAAGGAGAGCCTGTAAGAGACCAGCCTGGGCTCCTACCCCACCTCGCCCCACCCTGTGATAAAGATGACAGCTCAGAATGAGCTGTCCTGCGCCTCAGCTGAATAGATGAGCAGTTGTGAATTTGATGGCAGGGGACAATTTGCCACCATACAGATTAGCACAGACCAAGTGACTTAGGGCCTGAAAGAAATCCAGCTGGGCCTGTAGAAAGATCAAAATAAAAGCTAAATAGGGTTATACAAGCTATTTCCTGTCATCAAGACATTGGCTAATGCAAAAAAGTCAGGAGGGGAAGGGGAAGTTTCTCTACAGACAAGTTGAAATTCTTTTGAGCTTCCAAATGAAACTTCTCCATTATGGACGGGATGTTGAAGGTGCAATGTGGGACATAAGATACCTTAGTTCTGTCTGTCTCCACAGCTGGCTTAAGAAGTAACTTGGGCAAGCCAATTGACTTCTTGGTACCCTGATGTCCCCATCTGTGCAACAAAGATATTCCAACCAGAAACACAGGATTTACAGAAGTAAATCAAGTTTCCAGGGCCTGGAATGAGAATTTTTCGGAGGCCAATGCCTTCAGCTCCAGCAGGATTACACCTAAGCCCTACCAGAAGTCTGGGGGATGGGGGTGACCGACACCATCCATGCAAACAAAATAAAATAACCTATTTCCCTTCCATCCTCCACCCTGAAAAAATCAGTTTGCTCATAAAGCAAAGTAGCCATGAGAGTTTTAAAGAAATTGATTTTTTAATTTTTATAAATTTTAAATAAATAATAAATTCAGATAAATAAATAAATAGATAAATTTTAAAGAAATTTAAAGACATTCCTCTCTTTTCTATCTCTGCTTAAGATTCTCAAGGTTTTTTGAGTCTGTCTGGGACTCTCCACATGATCTCTCAGATGCAGGTGGGGATGGTTGAATAACTTTGGCCTGGGCTGAGCCAGGGGTAGGGAGCCTGCACATCCCAGGGCAGGTGAGCCTTGGGGTGAGAGGAGCCTAGTGTTTTTGAAACTAGATTCAGCAGTGATGGTTTTTCTATGTTGAGGTTTATGGAAGACTTCATCTTTTCCCTAAAGACTCCTTATAAGGATGAGGACTTTGTCTCACTTATCTTTATATCTTCAACAGCTAGTGTAGGGACTTGAACACATTAGACACTCAATGTTTGTTTGTTTTCTCTAATTGAACTGGTGTTTAACAACTTACCTTGGAAGTTCTTACCTTGGTTGAGTCTGGCTGGCATCTGTTTGACCATAAAGCTAGACTGGAAAGTCACCCTGCCTCCCTGAGTCCCCAGCTAGTTCTGCTTGTCCATCAAAGACTTGGTGGAAGTGATTATGATATTCTGCAAATGATGAGTTCCTCCCAACACTTGGAAACTCCCTTCTGAAATATTTCCTGGAGTTGGTGCAAGGAGTAACTGGGAAAATTTGTCCACTTTGCCTGTGTTTTCATAGAATGGAAAGGTACTCGTAGCTCTGGGATGGGTCTTTCCAGTTGGAAGCAGCCCACAGCCTGCTTCTATGGTCTTTAATCTTTGCTAAGAGAAAGAGGGATTGAGTTGTTGATGGTGGAAGGAAGTGTAGCAGGGTTTAAAGGATTAGGTTGGGAATGTGTGGGAATTTTAGATTTTATTCTCTCTCTTTCAGTCTCTGTCTGAATCTGTTCCTCTGTCTCTGTTTCTGTCTGTCACTTATTGACCTGATATTAGGTAATAGACTACAGGATCACAGAATGCTAGTTTTAAGGGACCTTAGAGCCCTTTGAGGCAGCTGATGGAGTATTGGGCCTGGAGTTAGGAAGACCTGAGTTCAAATCTGGCCACAGATGCTCACTATCTATAGGGGCCTGGGCAAGTCACTCAACTGCTATTTGCTTCAGTTTCCTTAGCTGTAAAATGAGGAAAATAGTAGCACCTACCCCATGAGGTTGTTGTGAGGATCAAATAGTATTGTTTAAGTGCTTAGCACAGTGCCCGACACATATATACTTGCTCACGTCCTTCCCTTCCCCAGTCCCAGGGACCTTCTAATCCAAACCATACCTGAAAGAAATCCCCACCATAACATACTAAGAGGTAGTCATCCAAACAAAGGAAGCCCCTAAACTCCCAAAGCTAACCTAACCTCTAATTGTTAGGAACCTGTTTCCTCACATGCAAGACTAAATTTAACTCTTTGTGACTCCCACCCATCACTCCTGTTTTACCTCAGCAAGAATAAACAGGACAAGTCTGATCCATTTTATCTCCTGGTAGTCCTTCAAATACAGCCCCAAAGGTCTATCTCTCTGTTTCTTTCTCTGTCTCTCTCTCCCTCTCTTTCTCTCTGTCTCTGTCTCTCTCTCTCTCTCTCTCTCTCTCTCTCTGTCTCTGTGTGTGTGTGTGTGTGTCTGTCTCTGTCTCTCCTTTTCTTTCTCTTTCTGCCTCTGTCTCTCTGTCTCTCTCTGTTTCTTTCTGTGTCTGTGTCTATCTCTCGCTGTCTGTCTCCCAGTCTGTCTCTATCTCTCTGTCCCTCTGTCTCTCTCAACCTCTGTGGCCCCCTTAGTAGTATAAGGAGGGAAAAGAAGTGGGGAGTCACAGACCTTTTACTGTGATGATGGAAAAAAGTGAGTGCAAGGAATAGGCCCGACCCTGGGTTATGATCAGTATGGTCAGTGCTGGGTAATAGCACCAAACTGTCTTCAAACCTATGCATAGGACCCAGCTCAGTCACACAACAGATATGTACTCAGTTTCTTTTCTGTGCCTTGTACCATACTGATGGTGGTGAGCTGCTGCTCTGTGTGTCTACCAAAGACAGAACAAAAGAGAATGGGCTGGAGCTACAAAAGGAAAGATTTAGGTTAGACATTGGATAAGACTTCTACCTGGTAAGTACCACAAATTGCTGGAACCAAAGGGAGATACTGTCATCTCCTTTTATAGAAATCTGTAGGAACAAAGTGGGCAGCTAGATAGCTCAGTGGATAGAATTCAGGGACTGGAATTAGGACGACCTGAGTTCAAATCCAGCCTCAGATACTTACTAGCTGTGTGACCCGGGCAAATCACTTAACTCTGTTTGCCTCAGTTTTCTCATCTGTAAAATGAGCTGGAGAAGGAAATGGCAAACTCTCCAGTATCTCTGCCAAGAAAATCCCAAATGGGATCACAGAAAGGTGGACACAACTCAAACACTGAACAACAACAACAGGAACAAATGTAGATTGTTATCTTTCTGAGGTAGTCCTGCACTGAGACAGAAGGATGGACTAGATGACCTCTCTAAGTACACTTCTACCCTAGAATTCATTGTTCCAAAGATATGTCCAGGGCCTATACCTAGATAAGGGTTCTGATTAGGGAAGCAGTATGGTATAATGGAAAAGAGTACTTGCCCTGGAGTCAGAGGAGCTGAGTTCAAATCCCACCCCTACTGCCTCCTATCTGTGTGATTTCAGAAAGTTGTTAAACCTCTCTGAGAAGAGATAGCCTCTGCATCCTGTCCAGCTCTAGATCTGGCCTTTCCCCACTCTTTGTCTGTCAGGGGCGGAAGACTACATGGAAAATGTCCCGCTGGTTATTTCTGCCCAACTGGGAATTCTGATCTGATGCTACCAGGCCCAGGGGAGTCCCTGACCTCATGCCCTATGGGACAGCTGTGCTCAAGGAAGTGCCCAACAGGTAACCGATGCTGCTTCTTGTCACCAATGAGATTTCTTACACACTGGAGGCAGGGTGATCTTTTGAGGATTGACATGGACCAGGAAACCTAGGTTCTCTTTGGACCAGAGGAGCAGAATTTCTAGGGACTCAGAAGACCCAGTGGCTGACTGCCTCCCCTATTTCCTCTCACTCTAGTTCTCTCCAGGTCTGTGTCTATCACAGACCTTAAGACCTTGAAAGATTATCTACTAAAGACTACCAAAAGATTAGCTATTAAAAGATTATCTACTTCAGCCGCTTCCTTCCACAGATAAGGAAACAGTCTCAGAAAGTTTAAATGACATGCCCAAGGTAAAATAACCAGAAAGTGGTGAAGCCATCATCCAAACCCACGTCCTGTGACCCCCAGGTCCAGGATTCCCTCCACCACCTCTTCACAAAGGACGCTAGAGGTGAAAGGAATCTTAGAAACCATTTGGTCCAGTCCCCTCACTTTAGAGAGGAGGAATCCAGTCCTGAAGATAAGTGACTTGCCTCTAGGATTAAGTGCAAACTTTTCTGTTTGGCATTCAAGCCCTTTAAAACCTGGTTCCAGTCTACCTTTCTAGGCAGCACTCTCCTTCAAGCACATTACATTCTGGCCAACTGGTTTTCTTAGTGTCCCTCATCCACAGCATTCTATTTCCTACCTCTGATGTCTTTTCTCAGGTTCCCCACACCCCCGTGCCAGAAATGCACTTCCCTGCCCCTCTCAGACAGGTAGCTATGTGGTCCAGAGAATAAAGTGCCCAGCCTAGACTCAGGAAGACTCATTTTCCAGAGTTCAGATCTGTCCTCAGACACTTACCAGCTGTGTGACCCTGGGCAAGTCACTAAACCCTGTTTGCCTCATCTGTGAAAGGAGCTGGAGGAGGAAATGGCAAACCACTCCAGCATCTCTGCCAAGAAAACCCTAAATGGGGTCATGAAGAGTAAGACATGACTGAAAATGATTGAACAACCACAACCCTGCTCAGAATCCCTATCTTTCCTCAAAGCTCAGCTCATGAGGCCTTTTCTGACTCCCCCAGCTATTGCCTCTCCCTACAAAATTACTTCATACATATTACGTAAACATTTTGTGTTTACTTAGCTATGTACATGTTGTTTTTATTGTACCCCACCCCCAGAATATAACC